CACCGGGATGGGATAAACCCAGGGCTTGGGCACAGTTGAGGCTCCAGAGACGGGGCCACAAGGAGAGCAGGTTAAAACAGGGCAGAGCCGGGCCAGGGGCTCCCGCTTCCAGCCCAGGAAAGCCTGGGTGCCCCTTCCCGGCCACGCTCCCTGTTCCCAGGGAGCAGCAGTGGGAATGGGGAGCTCCACTCAAGCCATAAGCACAGGGGTGCCTCCAGTTTCCAAAGTCCACGGGAAAGGACGTCCCGGTGCAGGACGAGCGCTGCACGTGGGACTAAGGCCACACAGCAAGAGGCTCCTCCGAGCCGAGCAACAACAAGGCATCAAGAAGCCGATCGGGAGCAGGATCTCGGGATCGGGATCTCGGGATAACAGCAGCAAAGGGCACTTTCCATAAGGCACCTGCCCCTCCGCCCTCGGAGGGCTCCCCTGTAGCCGCTCCAAGTGAGGGGACAAAGCGCCCGGATTAGCTTAAGTTCCAGGGAGAATGAGGATTTGCCAGGCCCCTGGAACCCTCGGATTTGTCACTCATGGGCCCCCGCCAGGCGAGCGGCAGCGGGGGACGTTTTGGTCCAGGCTGCAGCATTTGGCTCCGCTCCCGCGTGCGCGATGGCCCCAGAGAGACCCTGGGCCAGACAGGGCCCGAGCGGAGCCTTCGTTAAGAGCATGAATAAATTAAGAGAGGATGAAGCCTACGCAGCTATCACACACCATAGAAACGTACCTTTAAAAGTGTCTGCAAAAAATACTAGTCTGTAAAACCTACATTAAGAGTTTCCTTGGAAAAAAAAAAAAAAAAAAGTGGAGTTGATGGAGTTCCCCCATTTTCACCCTAAAGTGACCAGGTGTTTTGGATGCTCCACTTGATCCCCTGCCTTCCCAGATCAAGTAGTGCCCCTGCTCCTTCTCTTCTCAAGGGCTTTCCAAGTACCTCGACATCCATGCGAGAAACCAGGCCACTGTACAGGGTACAAATGCTGTGTCGTTGAAGCCAATCTGGCTATAAAAATAAATGCTCTTGTGCCTTCTTTATATATTGTGGAAGAATTTAGCCCTTTTCCAACAGCTCAGCATCTAGCTGAAATAGTATTTAAAAAAAAAAAAAGGTCTATAATAGAAAAATAAAGGATAAACATTATCCATCTATTTTTGTATAAAAGTTCTGTGATGGGATATTTTGCTTCTTTGCTGTAAAGATAAAGAAAAAAAAAAGAAAAAAAAAATCAACCTAGGCTGCATAACCTAGGCCTTCTGGTGAGGAAGTAAACTACACTTCAGAGGAAAATACCAGCTAGCAATTTCACTTCTCCAAAATAAAGTTATTAAATATATATTATTATGAGTCTTTATAAGCTATGTCATTGTTTAGGCACCAAGGGCAGCACGTGGCTGGGGATCACTTGAGCCCTCCTTCCCTGGAGGGGCCGGATCCGGCTGCGGAGCCGGCGTGATTCCCGGCGGAGCCGCGAGCGACGCGGGGCCCTTCAGAAGGACGCGCGTTTCTCCAGCGTGTGCTTTGTGAGGAAGTACTTGAAGAACTCGTACACGGACCACGCGATGGCCGTCGAGGGCATCTGGTAGATGACGCGCGCCTGCACCCCCTTGAAGTAGCCGGGGATGCCCCCGAGCTGGTAGACGGTCCTGAAGGCGTTGGCCATGCCCGAGAGGTGCCCGCGGACGCGCGCCGAGCTCAGCGCCCCGTCCTCCTGCGTGTTGAGCAGCGTCTTGCACACGTCGAGCGGGGGGCCACGGCGCCCGCCACGGCGCCGGACACGATGTGCGAGCGCGGGCGGTACTCGCGGTGCGGGTTGATCTGCTCCTGCATGAACTCGTAGGTGATGAAGTGGATGGCCTGGAAGGGCACGTTCATGGTGAGCTGCGTGGTGTAGCTGCGGTAGAAGGCCCCGAGCCCCTCCGTCTTCTGCACCGTCCTCACGCACGCCAGGACCGACTTGTAGGGGGAGTTGAACATCTGCATCCGCTGCTTCACCACTGCTCCGGAGAGGCCAGCGCCGGTGCCGGGGAGAGAAGAGCGCGTTGGTTAGGGCACCCCTCGCCACCGCACGCCGAGCCTTGCCCCAAGCCACCGCGGAAACCTGGCACCCGCACGGGCTCCCCGGAGCAAACTGGGCATTTGAAGGGGTTTTTAAACAAGGGAGCGCTTTCCCTTCCAAAAAAGCCTGCGTTGGGCCCAGCCCTGGAGCACGACGCAGCTCCGCAGCCGGGCCGGCCGCCCCGCGCCCGCGCTCGGGAGG